GAGGAGACGAGTGAAAATTCTGTGGTACATGGTGGTACCCCAATTGGTAATACATTGGTACCTGCCGGATTAATGTTCACCGGAGGCCGGAGATCGGAGATCGGAGGTCGGAGAGAGGAGTTTTTAAAAAAATACCTAAAATGCCTTTTAATTATAATTTTAATTCAAATTACCATAATTATTAATTTCCTTATTTATCCGTTGATTTGTGGTTAAGATTGGTTCTCACAGTTACCACAAACAACTCAGTTCTCCCTTGAATAGGCCCCCCATATATATATATACCATATATATATATATATATATATATATATACCATATATATATATATATATAACTATTTATTGCAGTTTCCTGTTAAGGTTTCCAATAACATATTAGTTTGTATTAAACAAGACTTGTTGAAATGATAATCAATCAGATATATAATATATAAAATTTAAACGGCTACCAAAAAGTCATCATATGGACACAGGTTTATTGAAGTTGTTTGTATCGATTTGAACACTTCTATATGGACAACTTGTCGACTTATATGTTTTTTTGACTCAAGAAAATTGGCTTCAAATTTTACGCAACAAAACCAAGAACATGCACACGTGGAAAATTAAAAACATAACGTTTTTAAATAAGATTATTTTGGGCTTCAAAGCTCTTTAAATATTATTTTATTTTATGATAAATTTAAACTTAAAAACAAATAACAACAATACTTAATAATAATAATAATAATAAGGTGTTACACTTATTAACAAGATCTTTTAATAACATAAGTTCAACCACAAGGATGATGTCTATTGGTTTGAGTTTAGCTCCAAAGATCAAAAGTACTTGGAGGTTTCAGTTTCAAATACAAGAAAGAATAAAAATTCTCTTATGATCACGGAGGTTCAAATGTGGTGATTACGAGACATCTGCAAAGCATGTAATCGTGGGATTATTCGGCTCGCATAACGGGTTGGATATCCAGATTAATAAAAAAACATAAGTTGCTAAAAGTAGTAAATAATTCGTAGTTAAATATTT